TCCCTAGATTTGACACTATCTCCTCCACCTTTTCCTCTCTCAGATGAAATTGAGTTCTTACTACATCTACTCAAAACACTGTTACCTGATTTTCTCCCATCAGAACAACATTGACAATCCACAGATCCTCCTCCACTTGAAAACCTAGGAGACCGTCTCAGAGTACAAGAACACGAAACATTGGTCGATTTCAAGCGAGACGATGAGGTAGATGCAGGCTTCGTAGAGCTACATGGTGGAGACTTGTCCTCTCTGGAACCGGAAAATCCCTTAATTGAAACCCTAAGAGACCGCCTCAGGGAAGGAAACCCATCAATCAAACTGTTCCCTTCCGGCGATTTCTTCGAACTTTCTTCGAATACTAATCTCTTTGATAATACTTGTGGTCCGAGTTCCCGACGGATTTTCCTCGGTGGTTCCGAGCAAAAGACAAGATCTTTATCGGTTTTTCCTTGACCATCTCGATTTTGCAGAGAGACAAGCCTCGCTGATCGACGAAGCACCGATAATGTGGCGGGTTGCGGCAAGACGACGGTGGATTTTCTTCTCGACATTTCAATCAAACTGCAAAAAAAAACGAGCAACTTGTTCAAATCTAAGAACAACATAATCTATGATTCTTACGAAATTGAAGAAAATGGGCAGATCTGAGAGGTGAATTAGACCAAGAGACACGCACCAGAGCAACGATAATGCGGAGACCCGTAAACCCTAGAAAGCCTGGGCTCTGATTTCTTCTTTTCGACAACGGAAGTTGAGTTTTCTCGCACCGAAAATCAGAGATTTCTCTGGCGTTTCAATTTCATTATCGAGTAGCGACTGAAGTGACAGAATTAGGCTTTGTGATTTTGGGTTAAGCTGTTTTACTTTAAAGTTAAAAAAACTAACAAGGAGGTATTATTGCCAAATAGCCCTCATTGTTTTCGAAATATCGAATTTTTGGATACAAATATTTCTTTTATTAGAAAAGTAAGGCAACATCATATATACAAACATGATTATTGTTCCACAAATTTTAAAGAAATTGAATCCAAAGGATATTTCCAAGAAAATCATAAAACCCCACAGAAAAAACTCGTGTGGAATATTTTACCGAGACTTAAAATACATTCACCAAATTTGGGCCAAACCCATCTGATTCCAAAAAGTGCATTAATTTTCTGGTTTAGTAAAACTTCAAAGCCCATATATTATTGGATTTGGGCCGTTTCGTGAAAAGGATAAATCCGTAATTCCCATTGGAACATATAAGCCCTAGTTTCGACTACATTTCTCATCTTCTTCAAAAACCCTAAATTCTCATTTTGTCACCGCCTCCCATAGCGAAAACTCCCCAAAAAAATTTGAGCCATGCCGCCGAAGTTGGACCCGAGCCAGATTGTCGATGTCTACGTCCGTGTAACGGGAGGAGAAGTCGGAGCCGCCAGTTCTCTAGCTCCGAAGATCGGTCCTCTCGGTCTCGCTCCAAAGAAGATCGGAGAAGACATCGCCAAGGAAACCGCCAAAGAGTGGAAAGGGCTTCGTGTCACCGTGAAGTTAACGGTGCAGAATCGTCAGGCGAAAGTCACGGTGGTTCCATCTGCTGCAGCTCTCGTCATCAAGGCGTTGAAGGAGCCAGAGAGAGACCGCAAAAAGGTTAAGAACATTAAGCATAATGGTAACATCTCTTTCGATGATGTTATTGAGATTGCTAGGATTATGAGGCCTAGATCTATCGCCAAAGAGCTTAGCGGAACTGTGAGGGAGATTCTGGGGACTTGCGTCTCTGTTGGATGCACTGTTGATGGAAAAGACCCAAAGGATCTTCAGCAGGAGATTCAAGACGGTGAGATCGATATTCCTCTGAACTAAGAAATGGGAATTTGAAATGATGTTGTCTTTTGATCTTTTAGCTGCTATGTTTCTTCACTTAGTATGACTCAGTTTTGGATTATCATTGCTCTTTATTCCTTCCTATGTTCAAGAACCCTCTCCAATGGTTTATCAATCGTAATTTAAGGTCTTGTTTTGTTGAGGATTTGAGCTGAATTGCCTTATGTTTTGATGTGTATGTCTTGAATCTGAAACTGCATTGATGTTCTATGCTTGCTCGTAAGTCCCTGTTTCTTGATTAGTTGATGTAGATGAATATGGTATTGCATTTTCTATGGTATATATAGATGAAAAGTTTAAGCTCTTTGAGTCGATTTCAAAAGATTGAATGTTCATTCCATAAGTCTATCTTTGTTATGGTTCTCTGCATAGTATCAGTTGTGTTCATCTTCCCCTATCCGGAACTATCTGATTCAGCGAAAATCGGTTTCATCTTCGTCGGTCTTATTATGAATCTCACTGATCATTAGGGCTTATGGTACTTTCTCTTCAGTTTAGAAGAATGATAATGACCATTTGGTTTCATATGCTAAATTCTTTTGCTGAGTTCATACATTGGGACGGTTTCTTGATAAGTCCATTAAAACGATTCCAAGGATGAACAAATAACATCTCTTGTTAAACTATGATTTCATTGAAAGCTGAAAATTAAACGATTCTTAAGTCTTGTTTTGTCTATTTGTTAGAGCTCTTTATGTTGAAATGGCTTAGCTTTCTCTGTTTTGTGTGATTGTTAGTATACAAAGCAATGATATGATTTTGCATTTTAAATGATAAAATGAATCGGATGATGAAATGTATTTTGACAAAGCAATTATTAAATTTAATTAAAGTTCCATGTAACTATTTTCTTACTTTTTTAAACATATTTTGGATCGGTAAGGGCCGACCCAATAGCGATATTGACCGTACAATGTACTTGGAGTCTAATTTCGTTATCAGTACAAATAGACATTGATCGGAGCTAGAATCGTTGAGGTTCTTTAAAAGTACAAGGTCTAATTTATCAATAATACACTATGGGTTCCAAATGTATTTTACACGTTCGGGATTTTTGTGTCTCATGTGGATTCAGAGTCAAGTAATTATAGTGATAGTGTATTATTTTTATTTGGCATTTGTTTTTAATCGAACCTTGTAATTGTTGAGCTTAGGATC